TTTCCCGACTATAGATTTGTCATCTCTGACCTATACAACTATATGTTTCAACTATTAAAAAATCATATGTACTATAGTTATGTGATTAAAATATCCTTTAACATAATGAGGATACTTTTAAAGTATTTATTTTTGAGTAAATTCTTAATTAATTTTGATATTGTGATTTACTATTTTAATAATTTTAGTATGAATGATAAATTTATAATTTAATAATAAAGTAGATCATAAAATATTATCATCTATATTATTATTATTATCATATTTATATGTATGTCATACATTGTGTCATCATTTTCAGTAAAATAAACTCTATATAATAAGTAGGTTCTTTATTTTTTTCAAAAATACTTTTTTACCAAAAAATAAATTAAAATAAATGTATACCTTATTCATAAAAGTCTGATAAAAAACAGATTTATTTTCTCAGAAGATATATCAATGGGTAAATCTTCACGGGACATCCTGTTTAATATATATTTATATAAGTGAACTGTATTATACTTGATTTCTTACATAACCTATGGCCTATATCATGTCAACTATCCAASTAAAGGGACATTAATAAGTATAACAAAAAACCATATTCATAGTATCAAATTTTCCCCTAATTTATTTACCAAAATTAAAATTATATAGTACTTCCTGATTGACATGTTTTTATTTTTATTGTTTAACTTCCAAAAACTAATAGCTTAAGTTACACAGCCTAATTATTGAACTATTRTAATTTTAAATACCTATTATTAAATTCTCAGGAAAATAATGAAATTAAAATTTGTTATGATATACTATATAATAAATCAGTTTAATATTATAAGTTACTTATGATGTGTTGAATAGGCTCATAATAAAAAATAAAATATTAAAGATACTTCTTCATATGTTTTAGTTAAATAATTTTGAATTGTCATATCAACCAGCTTATGTTTTAATTTTCAAATGACAGTGAATATGTTCTCCATATTTATTAATTATGATTATTGTTCACCTAAATAAATAAGATTTTTTAATTTGTATTGTGTTATTCATTATTAAAAACTTTTCTTATATTGTTGAAAAAAATAATATGACATATACTTAATTTAGCAGAACATTTGACATATGGATTACAGTAATATCATTTATGAACTTATTTTTGAAAATTGTTTAACATTTATGTTATTAACTTGGTTATTGTTATATTATTGAACAAATTGCTTTTATACTTGATATT